CTTTGGTGTAGCTTGCGGAATGGTCTTGAATACACATCACTTTATTGAAAACACATTGTTGGCTGGAGGCCAGAAATCCTTAAAGTGGACTCAATTCGAATGCAGAAGGGTTTTGTTTTTGTTGTGGTCGTTTTTTAAGAACCAGGGTATGAGACGTTGTTGCTTCACAGTATTTACAGTGAGGTTAAAGAGAATTGCAAAGTAATAAATGGGAGAAATGCAAGTGGAATCCAGGAGCTAGAGCAGAGTGAGGCTTGAGCTTTCAGGACGCACCTGTAGCACTGAAAATAACCTAGGTCTCAGAGGTGCAGGAAATAGAAAGCCTGAACAACATGATCCATTAGAAACCACATCAAGGGGCTGGGAAGGTGGCTCAGTGGTAGAGTGCTTGCCTAGCACACATGAAGCCCTGGGTTCAATTCCTCAGCACCACATAAGCAGAAAAAGCTGAAGTAGCACTGTGGCTCAAGTGGTATAGCACTAGCCTTGAGCTGAAGAGCTGAGGGACAGCGCCAGGCCCAGAGTTCAAGCCCCACAACCGACCAAAAAAAAAAAAAAAAAAAGATACCACATCAGTGAAGCAGGACCCCAGTAGTTTACACCTGTAATCCCAGCTACTAAGGAAGAAGAGATCTGAGGCTCATGGTTCAAAGCCAGCCCAGTCAAGAAGGTCTGTGAGACTCTAATCTCCAGTTAACAGCAAAATGCTAGAAGTGGAGTGTGGTGTGGCTCAAGTGATAGAGCTCTAGTCTTGAGTGGAAAAAGCTAAGGAGAGCCGAGCTAGGTCCTGAGTTCAGGCCCCAGACCCAGAAAGAAAGAAAGAAAAAAAAGACAGTCCAGGAAGATTTGTATCAGTCCCTTGAATTGTTTGTATTTTTGTTCTCTCAAGTAGTCTGAGGAGACCTGCGACTTGTTTACACTCTTAATTTGTTCAACAGCCCTTGTTGCAGAGATAACATAAATAAATCATGGTCCTGAGCAGCCGGTTCTGGAAACGGAATCTAGGTCTTTATGGAAGCTGTTATTGAGAACCAAGAATCAAGGAGAACTTTACATATTTCTTCCTCACTTATTTTATATATTTAAAAGAAATTTTTTTTTGTCCATCATGGCATTTGAACTCTGGGCCTGGGCGCTGTCCCTCAGCTCTTCAGCTCAAGGCTAGAGCTCTAACACTTGAGCCAAAGATACAAAGATAAACATCTTAACAGGGATTATTTTCCGTTAGAGAAACATTTTAGCACAGGAAGACTTGGATTCCTAAGTTGATGATTCCCTGGGTATTCTGTGGGCCTTGATGGAGTAATATTGAAGTTATTATTATTATATCTGTAAGATCTGGACACTTGTACTTTAGCTTTTTCACCCAAGGCTAACACTCTACCACTTCAGCCACAGCTCCACTTCTAGCTTCTTGGTGGTTAATTGGAGATAAGACTCTTTACAGAGGGGCTGGGAAGGTGGCTCAGTGGTAGAGCGCTTGCCTTGCATGCCTGAGGCCCTGGGTTCAATTCCTCAGCACCACATAAGCAAAAAGAAAAAAGCCAGAAGTGGTGCTGTGGCTCATTAAGCTGAAGAGCTGAGGGACAGCGCCCAGACCCAGAGTTCAGGCCCACAACCTGACACCCCCCCAAAAAAAAAATAGTTTTTTTTTTTTTTTAAAGAGTCTTACAGAGCTGAGACAGTGGTGTCTGTAATCCTATCTACTTAAGAGGCTGAGCTCTAAGGATCACTGGGCAGGAAAGTCCACGAGACTTATCACAAGAAAACTAGAAGTGGTAATGTGGCTTAAAGAGGTAGAGCACTAGCCTTCAGCAAAACACCTAGGCCCCAAGTTCAAGCCCCAAGATCAACAGCAACAGCAAAAAAAAAAAAAAGTCTCACAGAATTTTCTACCTGAGCTGGTTTTGAACCGTGATCCTCAGATCTTAGCCTCTGGTGTGAGCCACCAGTGCCCAGCAGAATTGTTTTAGTTTTTATTTTTTGGTTTGGTTTGGTTTTTCCAAAAGCTTCCTGATATTTGAGAAGCAGCGATTTTGACCTTTACCACTCAAGTTTGACTTGTGTAGAAAATGTATTTGCTTCACACTTTACTCTGGAAAATCAGGTCTTAGTGCAAAGCTAGACCTCAGCTGCACGCCGAATTTACAAAGCAAAGGGATGAACAGCATGCTGTAGTGTACACACATTGTATGAAGAGGCCTAATTGTATTTTTTGTTTTTTTTTTTGTTTCTTTTGTTTTTTTGCCAGTCCCTTGAACTCGGGCTGGCCACTGTCCCTGAGCTTTTTTTGCTCAAGGCTAGCACTCTACCACTAAGCCACATTTCCAGCCCCCTGACTGTTAAATGTTGGTATGTACACTTAGCAACAGGGGGAGAGGGGAAGCGGTGGATGTGTTTATGGGGTGGACCATAGCGATGGCATGCACCTCAGAGTCATCAAGTTATGTACGTCACATAGGTAGAGAATGTGTTTTATTTTATTCACTTGTGAAAGAGGGGTCTTGCTATGTTGTCCAGGCTGGTGTCGAACTCTTGAATTGAAGCCATCTTCCTGCCTGGGCCATCTGAGTGCTGGGACTATAGGAATTTACCACCCAAGCCTTGCTAATGCATGGTGCCAGTGGCTCACATGAGGTAATCCACATGCCCAGCAGGCTGAGAGCTATCTGTGAGACTCTTAGAAAGTGTGTCATTTCAGGCCTACTGAACCATATCGATTATTGTCACTGTGGACATTAATCACACCTCAGTAAAGTAGCTCCAGAAAGAACCTCAAGTTTGGCATGAACAGACAGACAGGTGCACAGCTCATGCGTGTGAGTCGCTCATTTGTGTTCAACACTGGCTCTTCCCCGCTCTGCCTTCCCATGGCTGCCCTGTGACGCATAGGCAGATTCTGTTCTGTACACTAACACAAGGGTCAGACCCTCTGGTTATGTGGTAGTTGTCCCTGTAGCTGGTCTCTGAAGCTGGGCCGGCAGCAGGCCAGCCGGGCAGCCGGGCAGGTCCCTCCGGCCTCCGCTCAGGAGGCCGCTCAGCATCTTTATCCCACTGGAGACTCTCACCCCTGTGATATGCTAATGCTCTCTCTGGCTCAGGTCCACGGCTTCCTGGGCTCTGCGTCCAGCCAGGCCTTCTCTGCAGAGCTGCCCCGCTCTCTGCCCTTCTCATCCTTGGCTGTGCCTCAGATCCAATTCCCCCCCCCCCACACACACACACTCCCTGCTCCAGAAGCTCTGCAGAGCTCTATGCTTCCAGCTCTCTGGCAGACCCACCAGATCTTCACACCAGTGGTCAAAAAGTACATTTAATTGGCAACACACACACACACGAGCACGCACGCGCGCTTGCGGCGCGAAGCCCAGGGACTCCTCCTTATCTGGACTGTGTATCTAGAACCTGAGTTGCTCTGGAACTCTCCTCCCTCTCTCAGGTAATCAGTCACCCAGGCTAGTTGATTCTACTGAAGTGGGACCCGGATGTCTCCCCTCCCCCTCCCGTTCCCATTTCCTGACCAGGAGGACCCAGTCCTGAGAGGACTGGCTGCTCCTCCCATCCCAGCTCCTTGGCTGTGCAGTCCAGCCCCGATGATGGACATCTGCACTGTCTCTACTCCCCTCCCCCTCTTACCCTCCTCCCTGTGGCCCACTGGCTGTCCCCTGGCGTTCAGGGCACAGGTCCACCCTGGCCCACACAGCTCCATGCCTTGGCAGTGGCAGTGGCTGGCATGCTGGCCCCTCGCATTCTTCCAGATGGAAGTTTCCAGACCTCTGTGCATTCTGGTTCCCTGGCCCCAAATGCTGTTTCTGGCTAATTGTGTGTGCTCCCTGTATGTCTGAGTGAATGAAGTCCACATGTGTTCTTTTCTTTAATGAAAGAATTTTATAATTCTTTCTCTGTGTGTATGTGTGTGTGCACACACATGTGTGCTTGTGCCTGTACGGGGCTTGAAGTCAGAGCCTTACACAATCCTGTGGTTATGTGTGTGTCATGGGGCTTGAACTCTGGGCCTGGGCACTGTCCCTCAGCTCTTCAGCTCAAGACTGGAGATCTAGGGCTGGGAAGGTGGCTCAGTGGTAGAGCGCTTGCCTTGCATGCTTGAGGCCCTGGGTTCGATTCCTCAGCACCACATAAGCAAAAAGAAAAAAGCCGGAAGTGGCGCTGTGGCTCAAGTGGTAGAGAGCACTAGCCTTGAGCTGAAGAGCTGAGGGACAGCACCCAGGCCCAGAGTTTAGGTCCCAGGACCAGACCCAAAACAAAACAAAAAACTAGAGCTCTACCACTTGAGCCACTGCGCCACTTCTGGTTTCCTAGTGGTTTATTGGAGATAGGAGTCTCACGGACTTTGCTGCCTGGGCTGGCTTTGAACTGTGATCCTCAGATCTCAGCCTCTTGAGTGAGTAGTTAGGATTACAGGCATGAGCCACTGTTGCCCGGCTTTCACTTGGCTTTTGTACTCAAGGCTATCTCTACCATTAGAGCCACAGCTCTACTTCTGACTCTGCTAAGTAATTGGAGATAGGAGTCTCACAGACTTTTCTGCCCAGGCTGGCTTTGAACTGCGATCCTCAAATCTCAGCCTCTGAATAGCTATGATTACAGGCATGAGCCACCGGTGCCCAGCTTCTCCTACTTTCTTACTCCAAAGTCAGACAGCTGTTGTGTGTATGTCTGTGTGTCCATACACACACTCTACCTGTCAGTGTTTGATATTTAAGAAAGTAATTTTCTGCACTGAAAGGTTAGTTATAGCTCCAAAACGTGTTTCTCAAAAGCATAGGAAGTGTGGGTCTAAGTTCAACACTTTGGGCAGTCTTTAAACCAAATTTGGTAATGTTGATTTAAACTCTCCATAAAAAGGCATCTGAATATAATCATGGAAAATATTAGCAGTGCTTTCTATGTAGAGATGCACGATGAAGAGAATTGTTCATTGAAAATACATTTATCACAAAGTCTGTAAACCGTCTCTCTCCCTTTTTTTAAAAACAGGATCAGTTTGACAACCTAGAAAAACATACGCAGTGGGGAATTGATATTCTTGAAAAATACATCAAATTTGTAAAGGAAAGGACTGAGATTGAACTCAGCTATGCAAAGCAACTCAGGTAAGTTGGTACTGAAAAAGGTGGTATGTGTTATAACTACACTGTATATAAAGATCATTTATACTCTCCTTTTATTGTATAAAAATGCCTAATCTTGAATATTTCTTGTTTTATGTAAGGTCATATTATAATAGGAATAGCTGGGTTTAACACAGAAAATGAATCTTCCAGAAACAGTATAAACAAAATACCAAGCCATTGCATTTAAGCTCAGGTTTTGTTATGGTTTGGTTATTTTGTTTTGCAATGCTGAGGTTGAAACCAGGACCTTTTATATAGAAAGCAAATGCTCTACTGTTGAGCCATGTACCAAGCCAGGCCCTATGCTCAGGTTTTTTGTTTTTGTGCTGGTCCTGGGACATTAACACAGGGTCTGGGTGCTGTCGCTGAACTTTTTTGCTCAAAGCTAGCACTCTACCACTTAAACTGTGGCTCCACTTCCAGCTTTTTGGTGGTTAATTGGAGACCAGAGTGCCACAGACATTCTTACCTGGGCTAGTTCTGAACCTTGATTCACAAATCTCAGCCCCCTGAGTAGCTAGGATTACAGGTGTGAACCACTGTGCTGGTGAGACACTTAGTTTTCATCCAAATATATGCAATATGTCATTGAAAGAATGTAGGCTCACTTGTTTAAGTGGTACCCAGGGAAAATATTTATAGATAACAAGTCACTAAGTGGGAAAAATCAATGGAATAATTTTTCTAATGAAGTGGATCCTGATCAGTTTCTAGTGTCGTGTGGCCTTTGTCTCCCAGCATTTTAAGACTTGTAGTGTTGACAGTAGAAAGTAAGAATGCTGTGTAAATTATTGGAATATTGCACTTAGAACAAGTTGTTTATATGAAATGGGTCATAGCATAGCTCAGCCAAGAAACATAGCAACTGTTTTCTGCCATTTCCCCATAGGGACCTACTTACTTTCCTTGTCTGTTTTTCTTTTCTGGTGCCTGAGGCTACCGTCTCCTTTGCTGTGGAGGTCTGTTGTAAGCTGCATTAGGTGTTGGTGCCAGGGGAAGGGGTCACGGGCCTCCAAGCCCGATACCACTGAGCCATTCCCCCAGCCCTAGGTCTTTCCTCATATGTATTTCTTATTGGTGCCAGTACTGGGACTTGAACTCGGGACCTGGGCAGTGTCCCTTAGCTTTTTTTTTTTTTTTTGCTCAAGGCTGGCATTCTAACACTTGAGTCGCTTCTGGTTTTCTGGTGACTAATTGGAGCTCAGAGTCTCATGGACTTTCCTGCCGGGGCTGGCTTCAAACTGCAATCCTCATTTGTCATCCTCCTGAGTAGCTAGGATGACAGGCATGAGCCATTGGCGCCCAGGCCACCCAGCTCTCTGTGAGCCCTGCTGGCTGCAGCTCTGGCCTGTGTGGCAGATGCTCACAGCTGTGCATCTCCACGCCAGCTCTCTCCTTTAAATTCTGGAAGCAGCTTGCTCAGAATCTCCACGGTGGGAGGGGGCTCCCAAGATACATGAGGCCCTGGGTCTAAATTCCAACTCCCAGGCCCCATGTTTCTGCCACCCCTTGGCTGTACCTTTTCGGATGGATGGTGCTGTCTTTCGTACCCCTGTTCTCACTCCACATGCAAGCCTCCGGGCGAGGCCAGCAGGCCCACTCTCCAGACCAACCCAGAGTCCCACCGCTTCACTCGCTCTTACCTTGATGACTTACCAGTGTCCTGGCCTGCTACGCTTACCTTTGCCTTCTACTGGTTTGCCTGTTTTCTACAAAGAACAGTTGCCCTCTGTTCCAAATTTCAGCCACTCCCTGTTTTATTCTGAGGAAGTCCAGAGTTCTAAGGTGAGTGTCCTTGAAATCCTGCAAGGCCCAGGTTCCCCTCATCTCCCCATCCCCAACCCAACCCGCCCCCGCCCCCCTCACCCAGGGCAGCTCCTCCCCATAGAGATCACCAGTGTGTTCTCCAATAGCCCGCCACCCACTCCTCTTCTCCTGGAATCCTCTTCCTAACATTCTATTCTTTTTTTAAAAAAAATTATTATTATCTTTAAGTAGTTGTACAGAGAAGTTGCCATTTAACAAAGCGGTTTATGAATGCAGTCTGTCTTGATTAATGTCACTCCTTTCAACATTCTTGCCCATCCCTTCCCTCCCCTCCCCTTCCCTTACCCTTCATATTTTGTAGGCTATACATTCGAGGTGGGAATGAGTTTTTTTTTTTTTTTTTCCTGTCGTGGGGCTTGAACTCTAGGCCTGGGTTTTCTCCCTCAGCTCTTCAGCTCAAGGCTAGCGCTCTACCACTTAAACCACAGCACCACTTCCGGCTTCCTGAGTGGTTTATTGGATATAAGAGTCTCACGGACTTTTCCTGCCTGGGCTGGCTTTGAACCGTGATCCTCAGGTCTCAGCCTCCTGAATAGCTAGGATTACAGATGTGAGCCACCAGCGCCCGGCTGGGAATGAGGTTTGAAATCAGGGCTTTGTACTTGCTAAGCAGGTGCTCTACAGCTTAGACCATCCCTCCTCCTGCCCTTCATTTTTTACATATTTAGCATGTATGGTTTGAAATGTATACTATGTCTAGTGGCTAAGTCCAGCCCATAAATGCAGTACTTCACATCCTTTACTCTTTTCGCTTTTCTTTTCTTTGTGCATGGTGGGAACGCTTAATCTACTCTCAGCAATTTCCAAGTCTATGCCACATTGTTATTAGCTACAATCACCATGTAGTACAATAGATTTCTTCAGGAATTCCTGCTATCTATCTGAAAGTTTGTAGCCAACTGGTCAACATCCCTATGACCCCCCAGTGGAATTCAGTGTGCATTGCTTCAGCTTCCTCCTGGGAGAATAAGCAAAAACAAAATTGCAACAATCAAAATAAATAAATAGCACCTAGCCTTGTGCTGGTGGCTCACACCTCACACCTGTAATACCAGCTCCTCAGGAGACTTGAGATCATAGACTCTAATCACTAATCTTCACTTAGCCAGCAAAGAGCCAGAAGTGGCTCTGTGGCTTAAGTGGGAGAGTGATAGCCTTGAGTAGTACAAAACCTCAGGGACAGAACCCCAATCCATACTATCACCAAGAAAGAAAAGAAAGAATTTGTGTGGCTATATAATGTCATGATTTTTAATCCCAAGCTGGGTATGGTGGCAACTGGTCTGTTTTTCTCAGTTCTCAGAAGACTGAGTCAGGAGGATTAAGAATTGTAGGCCAGCCAGGGCTCATGCCTATAATCCTAGCTACTCAAGAGGCTGAGATCTGAGGCTCACAGCCCCAGCAGGAAAAGTCTGCAAAACTCCTTATCTCCAATTAACCACCAGAAAAGTGGAAGTGGTGCTATGGCTTTACATGAAACAGCCCAGGGACATTGTCCAGGCCCTGAGTTCAAGCCCCATGAAGGACAAAGAGAGAGGGTTCTAGGCCAGCCTGGCCTACATAGTGAGATCCAGTCTCTAAAGGAAAGAGAGAAAGAAGACTTGGCAAAGGTGTGCAGTGCAGCTTCCCTGGGGACAGGTGATGTTGGTGGAGTGGCGTGTGCCCTGGGGACAGGTGTGGGCACACCCAAGCGGACGCGCGAGTTTATTTCCTTGCTCCGGGGAGTTCCGCTTGCCCTTGCTTTTCTGCATCCGGGAGATTTCCTTTTCTCAGCTTTACAGCACTTCTTGGACTGATGGATGTTCTGATTGTTTCCAGTTGTTTGCAACAGTGACCACAGTTGTGCTGAGTGACCTTGAATAAAACTCTCCGCCAGCCTCTCTGCGATTGAGTACTGGAGCCGCGGCGCAGGCCCCGCCCTCGCCCCGCCAGGCCCCGCCCCTGACCGCCAGGCCCCGCCCACCTCTGCCCCGCCCTCTTGTGGTCCCACCCACCGACTCTGTCCCGCCCCCAATGGGCCTCTGGGAATCAAACTCTGACCTTTGTCAATCTCATCCATAAAAATTGATCAGTCGCCCGGCGCAGGTAGCTCACACGCCTGTCATCCTAGCTACTCAGGAGGCTGAGATCTGAGGATCACTGTTCAAAGCCAGCCCGGGCAGGAAAGTCCGAGAGCCTTATCTCCAATAAACCACCTGAAAGCCAGAAGTGGTGCTGTGGCTTAAGTGGTAGAGTGCTAGCCTTGAGCTGAAGAGCTGAGGGACAGCGCCCAGGCCCAGGGTTCAAGACCCACGACCGACCAAAAATAATTAATTAAAAAAAAATTGGTCAGTCAATCCGGGTTTCTGTTTGTATTTCTGTTAATTTGGATGAATGGCTTCTTTTTGTACTTTTTAAATGAGCCCTTCAGGTGCTGGTCTATTTTTTTAACTGAAGCTCATTGTATATCAGTAGCAACAAGGTAGAAGTCAGTTTTTAAAATGTATTTCATAAATACAGTGTGTGTGTAGTAATAAGTTTATAGGCATTTCAACTGTATGAGACATGCTAACCTTATCATTCTTATCAAAAAGATTATGAAAAATTTAGGTTATTTTTTCTAAAGGTAGGCATGAGGGGAAATGGGGGAGAGCCATGGAAGGATTGATCAAGAGAGATATTGTATTCATACCTTAATACATGGAATTGTAACGTCTTTGTACTGGCTAGCCACATAATGATGATAAATAATAATAATAAGTTCCATGTTGTCAGCTGCCTAGCAAGAAGAGTGGGGCCCTGAGTTCAAACCTCAGTACTGAAATAAAAGGGAAAAAAAATCCATGTAGCAGTCTTTCCCAGGCTCAATAGACTCACTGCTGATAATATAACAAAAATAATATTTACCTGTTTTGTTCTCTCTTGTAATTGATTTTTGTGGTTTGGCTCTGTCACTCCACGGTTGAACTTAACTTTGTTCTATATTTGAACATGTATTATGCCGGACTCCTTTCTGCTCATTTGTGGGGGATTGGGTGGAATTCTTCTAGTTAAGCTAGTTCTGTGTTCCTTTTTTATTTTTAAATATTTCTATTTATTTATTTTTTTGTTTATGTGGTACCAAGGAATCGAACCCAGGGCCTCATGCATGCTAGGCAAGCATTCTACCCCTA